CTGCACCATCATTTACAATGTCAGTGTTCAACACACTCTGAAACTGACTTTCGAAAAGCTGCTATAATGGCTTGATTTTGCATTGGTGGAATTAAACTCCAAGGTCGAAAGACGACAACCAACGTTTAGTTACGTAATCGATTGTCGGTGACGTGGGTCTATGCCAGGGTCACACTCATCTCTGTTATGTCCTTCGTGTAAATAACAGCTGCTTTCTATGCGTTGCTGTTTTCCTTTTGAAGACGCAGCCCCAGCCCTATCTTTTCCCTAAAGCCCAAAGACCCGTGAAGAAGGTAGAATAGGTCTTCAGCAACCCATGCTTGACGTAAAAGGCGACTATGCTTGTCGTAAAAGGTGACTAACGGGATCGGGTGGTCAGGCTCGCTGACTTGGCTGATGCATGTCATCGTATCCCAATTGCGTTAATCGATGCTCATGATGTCAATCACTGGATTGTTTGGTCCAGACTCGATTATTTACAGACGGCCGTCATACAGCTGGAATATTGCTGAGTGCGGCGATAAACAACATACCAACCAACCAACCCTAAAGCCCTAAAATGTACACGCCGGACACATGTCTCATGAAACATTTGGACTTTGTTATTAGGGTAGCTAGAGGCATATGCCTTTCTGTTTCGAAGTTATTTTGCAGTGGGCATGGTGTTGTTTCCATATTGTAAGTGATGTTATTAAACAGGAAGTGCTTATAGTTTGCGTATTACGATATCTCGAGGTAAAGGACTTTCTGTTACAAGATTGTTCTTTGTGTGTGATCCGTCTGTCTGTCTGTCTGTGTGTGTGTGTGCTCTGGCTGTGTGTGTGTGTGTTTGTCTTGTGTGTGCGTGTGTGCTGTGTGTGTGCGTGCTCTCTGTGTGTGCGTGTTGTGTGTGTACGTGCGTGCGTGTGATTAGCCTACTCTATATAAGATTCATGTTACATACCCATGTTGTTGCATTTTGATGAACATTTTTGGCTATAAACATTTCATTTTATCCTTCTTTTTGTTAGAGTAGGTAAGTTATATACAGCCAACAAGTTTGCCATATGTGGCCCCTGATGGGCATATCGAAGGTATTCATTTAAAATGTGAGCTTGGTGTACCACGTGTCTTTTCACAGATCCAGGTTTGCTTGGTTGGGGGTGCAATACAACGGAAAGTCGTTTGACTACTCTGACGGGACACAGTTGAGTTTTGCCAACTGGGCCAAGGGTGGTTCGATAGAACCGGATAACGTCAACACGGACCGCTGTGTTGTCATCAGAAGTCCACAATCAGTGTGGTACACTCGCCCTTGTAAACAGCTATATCCCTCGCTGTGTGGCCCCTACCAACCTTATGGTGAGCCTATTTCAGTTCCCAAATATTTGGGAGAAAAATCTTAAATTGTCAATCCTAGCATGTTTTTTTGAAGTCATTCAAACACCATTTATTCGTCTGCTGACGCATTTTTGTGATAAATATCAATCTCACAGTTACCTGAATTAAACAGAAACAATGTTTGAATTTCAATCAGGGTGCAAACTTCAATGTCTAGGCCAAGACTTTAAATGGGCAAATAAAAAACATAGCTTATAACATTTTTGTCTGATTTGTAAAGAAAATGGTTAGCTTAGATTGAGTTATTTGTTATATCATTTTAAAAAAAAGTATAGTTTGAATAGATGCATGCAAAGAAAAGGTCACCTCGCTGATAAGATGGAGACAAGAGGTTGAATTTACCAGTCACCCGACACACGCTGCACCAGAAGCCGCCCTCCGATCATGCGCCAAGGACTGTGCGAAACTGACCTGCATGTACTTCACACTTGATAAACGGTGCAAGACGTACAACGACGACACTTACCTTGACACACGGCCCAGGAAGTAGTCGGCGATCTGGAAATAAAACTGACAACACAGACAGAAAACACCGATGCCTTAGCAGAAAGTATGTACAAAGCAAAGCACTCTTGTCTTGTTTGATTTCGATGTCTTTGTCTACTTATACGTGTTTGTCCATCTTTCATATATTGCTTGTAGGGTAAAGTACGTGTTATTAAAGTTTGTAAAACTAAAATTAAGTTTATTAATTTATTTACTAAACACGTCTATTGGATGATCACCCATATATACTCAGCAACAAAAGTTCCCGGACACCCCATTCCAATCAGTTGCATACAAGAAAAAACCTTTCTGGTGTTCAAACAAAATATGAAAACATGAAAATATGAAAAATATGAAATATGCACAACGCACCCTCAGCAGAAAATGCATGATCAGATGGCAAAAAAAAGTGTCTTTCGTGCAGCAATCATGCATTTTTTATGTAAATCAGGGTATAAAAGCACGTGTTTTGTAGGGATTCGGTGTGCTTTGTTTCTGCTTGTCTTGACAACTGCAACACGGACAAACATCCAATTTCAATAATAATTTGGAGTTTGGAGATGCCACGCCTATGCTCCAGTTATGAGCGTCGCAGCGTGAAGTTGCTAGGCGACGAGACCGACCAATGAGCGCAGGCTCCCCGTTACGAGCGTCCGTCAAGATCGTTGGATTCAAACCACCCATCTGCGAAATCGATTCCAGCCTGCAACAATCACTCCGAGAACCATCCCTGGCCTTTGTCGAATATCGGGATTGTTGCGAGAAGACCAGTCAGACGCCCAATTCTGACCAAAACAATAACCGCCGAATGCGTCTAAATCAACATGGTTTTTCGGCATGACAACGCCCGACCCCATGTAGCCCGGGTTGTTCAACAAGCCCTCGGACAGAACAGCGTGAATGTGATCCCATGACCTGTTCGCTCTCCAGATCTTTCTCCAATTGAACGTATATGGGATGAAATGGACCGCCGTCTCCGACGTTTACCACGTGCTCCGACCACAGTACAGGAACTGAGAGAAAGGAGGCTGGTGAAGGTATGGGATGCCATCCCACAATAGTGTGTTGGACGTTTGAAATTAAATTGTCACATCGGCAATATTTCAGCCATATCGTGACGGCCATCCAACAATACTGTGTTGGACTTTGATCCGTACAATGCGAAGGAGATGCATTGCATGCATCCAAGCGAGAACGGGACTCACACGCTACTGACGTGTGACTTGACAATTTTGTTGTTGCATCTTTCTCTTGTCATAACGTCATTAAATGTGTAAATTTGTTTTACTGGTCCATTGGCCATTGAAATTATCAATCCTTTCAGGTGTGTGCGTCTTCTTTGATCACGTTCTTGTTTTATATCGTGTCACAGGAACTTTTGTTGCTGAGTATAGTTAAGGACTGATAATGATCAAAGCACCAGTTGTTTAAGACCACACTGATGTGAATGTTTGGGGGTGTATTAATCATAATAATATATGAATCATGGTAATTCAAGCAGGAGCAGGTACACACAAACCAAAGTTTCACAAATTTAAGCATTGTGTTCATGGTCACAAAATCGTATCGCTCGAACACAAGCAGTTGTCAGTAGCTGCAAATCAGAGTATTGACACGTGGTTTTTAACCCCACTAACAGTAATGAATGACAGGAAACACTTGTTACAATGCGTTGATTTTTGAATGTTGAAAATCGAGGCAGAACTTTTGGGATGCTCCAAACTGGCAATAGTTAACGTCAGGTGGCTGTACATCTTAAAGTCACTCAGATTGGGAGACGGTGGCAGCGGTACCAGGCCACAGGAACAGTTGCCTATGCTTGAAAACCAGGTCGTCACAACACAGACTGACTGACTGACTGAGTATGGTTTTACGCCGCTTTTAGCAATATTCCAGCAATATCACGGCGGGGGACACCAGAAATGGGCTCCTCACATTGTACCCATGTCGGGAATAGAACCCGGGTCTTCGGCGTGACGAGCGAACGCTTTAACCACTAGGCTACCCGACCGCCCCTCACAACACAGAGGCCGGATAGGTACCTTGTCACCTTGCCCTACGTTACCGATTTCTGACGTTACGTCAGATAAGTGATAAACACTTTAACACAAAATGGTTAATATTTTTGGTGATTTCCTACATATTGTTGTTGCTATAGGGTAGGCTAGTGGTTAAAGTGTTCGCTCGTCACGCTGAATGCCTCATTCCGATTCCCCAACATGGGTTCAATGTGTGAAGCCCATTTCTGGTGTCCCCCCAACGTGATATTGTTGGAACATTGGTAAAAGCGGCGTAACTCACTCACTCACTATATATTGTAATTGAATTGCGTTCAAATAAAATGAAAGAAAAAGATCATGATTTTGTTTGATTTTCAAAATAGTTCTTCAAATCAAATTCAGTTATGTTGAAATTTGACTGAATGAGTGTGTGAGGGAATATATTTTATATCATGGCATGTCAGTTTGCTTTTGTAGGAAAGTTATGCGTGATGCAGGTCTTAGACGTTTACCTCTTTGGTGAAACCCACGAGCACGGGAATGGTGCTGACAAACCTAGAACCATAGAAACTAAAATCATGTCATTTCAATCTCATTAAAATTAGATCTTAGTTCTCGCTAGCTAAACAAAGATCTGAGGACATCCCATTACGGGCCACGTCAGACCGACCTTGCGCGAACTTTGACCGACCAATGGAATGACCAATCAGAAGGCAGCTTTCTCGTGCTTTACGGCACAAATTTCAAATTGGAGACAACGCTTGACAAATTCTCGATTACAAATTTGAAACCTGAACAAAAAAACATTCTGGAATGGTCTAGATTGTAAGGATTCGGTCGTTAAACCCGTAACTATCGTTCGGAATGCCCCATGTTAAAGTTTTCGAGATTACATGATTACAAATCACATTCCGACTGTCACTTTCATAATCTGGTAAGCGACGCACTGATTGGTCGGATGAAAGGTCGTTCTCACGTGACCCCTAATGGGATGTCTTCAGATCTTTGTACAGCGGTAGCGAGAACTAAGGTCTGATTTTAATGAGATTGATGTCTTTTTAACGTTACGTGTTGCGAGTTAACCCAAAGATTGGCAACGATTCAGTGAAATTCGACAAAAATACAACAGGGTGGTATTTTTAAATATTGGTATTCAACTAGGAATTAATATGAGATACAATGTAACTTCTGATTATACATTAAATTCTTTGTTTCACAATTTCACATGAATAAATGTAGTAGCTTGTAGACACATAGATGTACAATTAATACAATTGTATCAGCGTTTTTGGCCTGTTCGCCAAATGGCATCTGTTTCGTCGGATAAAATAGACTTTTTATTATCTTGCATTGACAATTTATATTTGCGAGTCAATGAACGTCACAGCACAACCGTATCACATATCTCAATCGAACACTCGTCACGATATGGCTGAAATATTGCCCATGTGACGTTAAATAATAACTCACTCACTCACTCAATCGAACAGTTGGGTTCCACCTGTTTTCAATTTGCATTAATTCTTTTACAATGGCAGATTGAAACATGACGGCAAGTTAATTCGTTGTAGCAGTACCACGCGGGTATACATGTAAGCGGTTCAATGCGTGCCTCGTTTTATCATGTTGAGACAGACACCCGGGGACAAAACAAAAACAAAACATAACATATGTACAGAACTGACAAAATATATCAAAATCGAAACACATGCACTTTACATTTACACAAACATCGTTGGGTGCCGCGTGTTACCAACCGTCTTGGAACCATCAACATGCATTACCAAACGGGGGAAACAGCATAGATTGCTGTACATCAATTCTATACCGGAATCCCCACTGTGGGGGAGTGAGTGAGTGAGTATGGTTTAACGCCGCTTTTAGCAATATTCCAGCAATATCACGGCGGGGGACACCAGAAATGGGCTTCACACATTGTACCCATGTCGGGAATCGAACCCGGGTCTTCGGCGTAACGAGCGAACGCTTTAACCACTAGGCTGCCCGACCGCCCCCCACTGTGGGAGGGGCTAGGGTGATAAGTATCACCATGATGCACCATGGAATGAATGACAAATACCGAGGCTGATGACTACTAATAAACGATTCACATTAAGACAATTATACAGAAACAGACTTTAACAGATAGGACAATACATCAAATTTTGTCATTATACATAGATAAGTAAATGGCATGATGGATGCTTTCTAACTATAAAGACAAGGAGTTGGTAAGATGAGCATTAGTCTGCAACAGCAGGTGCGATGGGGACGTGATGACCGGACCGTGGTCACGCTACCGTGTAGACGTACGGCAGTGTAACGCCCTGTCCAGTCAGCTGATCAAGAAAGTCAAATGGACACTGTCCCTGGAATATAAGACAATAGCTAGAAATACATTAAGCCATATACGCTGGTTAGACACCTAACAGAAAGTGAGCATACGCCATCGGCACAGAGTACATGTGGCAGAATGAATCTTGTTTTAGGCCACAATATTGCAGGTTTGTCACGGGAAGTCAAACCAGTGATCGATAGCATGAGCAACAATCCCAAGCTCGGTGCACACTGTCAGACCGATTTTGTTTGTTTTTTGTTTGTTTTTTAACGCTGCACTCAGCAATATTCCAGCTTTATGACGGCGGTCTGTAGATAATAGAGTGTGGACCTAGAAAATCCAGTGATTGACATCATGAGCATCGCGATCCACGCAATGGGATACGATGACATGCATCAACCAAGTCAGCGAGCCTGACCACCTGATCCCGTTAGTCGCTTCATAGTATTACCATTCTATCCGCATAAATCGGTTCTTAGGAATAACGTGTTGTCTTCTAGATGCGGTTGGTTAAATGCATCCTGTTGAAGAGATTAAGGTGTGGCATCATGAAGTTGTTTGGAGGACATTTTCAATCATTTTCGATGCAATTCCCTATTTTGACTTGAACCAAAAACAATGCTCCCCTGTTTTTCAGGTGAACATTGACTTGACAGTGGTATCATCACATTTTTATAGTGATTCACAATCACATGCTCATGCTACAGCTGGATTCGTACATTGAACTCAGCTTTCATACTTCAGGTGAATATTGACCTCGATAGTGGTATCATCACTTTTTATAGTGATTCACAATCACATGCTCATGATACAGCTGGATTCGTACATTGAACTCAGTTTTAATACTTTATGATCATGGAAACGGTTTATGTCCCTTTTGGTTGTTGAAAAGAACAATGATAAAGCATGCCTTTTTGAATAGGCTGGCGGATATCTGTTGTCATAAACACATGCTTATTATATGTTTCTTATGATTTTTGGTTTTGTCGTTTAAATTTATTTGATAAAACTGAAGGCAAAAAACGATGCCATCATTACTGGGTATTGCAGCGTCACAACAAGTAGCCTACCCTCTTGGTAACGGCTGTGTCAGCACTGTCGGCGACGTCAAAGAGACTTCCGTAACGGCTGTTGGTCAAGATGGTTGCTAGTTCCCCATCAACAGAGACTGGTTCCCCGGACTGTGAAATGAAACGTGTTTCCTTCACATTGTATTTCATTTGTTAAAATGCTTCCATAACGTAAAATGATAACTTAACCACATAGCTACTCAATGTGTTGTCGTTCACCAATAGGAGGCGGGTACCATGGTGACATGGCTACTCCATGGATGGGTCTGTATTATATCTAATATAAGATTCAAACACAATATTGGTTGAATACATTGTAAAAGGCAAATTGTCAATTCATCGGCGCAATACACTGAATTCGTGATGGGCATTTGTGACTGATGATTGATAATTACCAACCAAACGAAACCAGTCATGGGAGCTGTGTCCGTGGGATTAATATCTAAATGTGTGACTATACAGATGTGTGGGTTATACGACTGGTTTGGGTTGCTTCCCCACTTCTCAAACACGCTTAACCCTCCCTACCCTAACAGGTTCTAGTAATCTTTGTCGATTCATCCCTCCCCACCATCTACCCCGAAAGGAGAAGGTTGAGCACAGATATGGTGAATAAAGGCGACAAAACTGCCAAACCTTTAGCAAATACAGTTAGGAATCAAACCTTAAATGTCAGACTGATATCCCACTTGAATTCTTCTTCACTGCCCTTGTACGTGACCTTGGCTGGGCCTCTTTTGCCGCTAGGGGGCAGTCGGAACATCCGGTTCCGGGCACAGCAGTATCTGCTTCCGGCTGTAAGCGAGATACACAGTTTACAAGGTGCAGTGGCCACATATTATGAAAGTTGTTGTCCATAACGGTAACTGACATGTTACTTCGTTCTTTAGAGCGGCTTATCGCTCTTTATAGTCCGTTTGATGAGAGATGTTTGAATGTGTTTCCCGGAAGCGAATGGTTGGTTTGTTCGCAACAACCGTAGGCAAGTCCATGGTCCATTCTACACAATCCTGACCGCGTTAGGTAACATTGATGCTTTCTTAATGGTTTATACCTGAACATCAATAAACATCTACAGACAGCAGAGTCAAGCATGATCGAGAAACAAGTCCCCTTCAGACAGTTTTATTGGACCAGTATGCGAATATTGCCCATATAACAACAATGAACGATTTGTTTCCAACTACATGAGTGAGTAAGTGAGTGAGTGAGTTGGATTTAACGCTGCTTTTAACAGTATTCCAGTTATATCACGGCGTGTCAGCTTAATGTGGGAGGAAAGCCCGAAGTGATGCAGGTCTCAGACGTTTACCACTTCGGTGAAACCCACGAGCACGGGTATGGTGCTGACAAACCTAGAAACATAATCGGGGCGAACCGGGATTCGAACCCACAATCATAGGTTTCTGGCGTGCCCAAGGGACGCAACTCTGCACAGCGAATCGCGGCGCCTTAGACGACTGGGCTACCCGTGCCTGAGGTCATACCGCTCTCCCGTACATGAACATTTGATTATCTTCAGTTACTTAGATAAAGGACAGGCTTGACTTATGGGTTTCAATGTCTTTCAATGTGACAGTTCGGTTCAGATGCTAGTAGCTTTGCCAATGAAGCATCACTTCCTTGTCATAAACTTCTACTCTGCCTTCATTGATGCTAAAGCTTCTCAAATGCCACTTTCGTATGTACGATTAAATAGCACAAAATGTACTTACGAAGCTTCTCCTGATAGTCGGGGCTGAGGCAAACGGGTCCCACGCCAGTGAGCACTGGGGTGGTGAATCCAGCTGCCCGGGCCGAGGCGTGGAACTCCTCCCTCACCTGGGAGCCGGTGAGTCCGAATACTGTCAACACGCATTAGTTTACACATCAACATGTGATACAATGTAGAAGTGAGGTGATATGGGCCTTAACGTTGCGCTCAAGATTAGTTCCTTACATGGCGAGGAACAGGTGTGTGTGTGGTTGTGTGTACTAGTCTGGACTAGCCGGTTTAACAGTGATTGTCAATTAAGCAATTTTGAAATATCATGCCGCAGTGTAACATAGATACCCCCTCAGACATAGTATACTGAATCCGAGCCAGCAAGTACCTGTTTTATCCCCTCATGCCGAGCGACAGGCAGGGTAACATATACTATCTTTTAACGGATTTTGGTATGACGCGACCAGGGGATCGAACCCCCGACCTTTCGCTCTCCGCGCAGCCGCTCTATCCACTAGACCAGCAGGCGGTTTTACAACCTCATAGTTGGAGGGAAACGTTGTTACCGTATTGTCCTCTGTCGGCTTAACCTCCAGGGGCACAATGGTCTAACATAGCAATATCACGGCAATATCAGAAATGGGCTCCACACATTGTACCCATGTCGGGAATCGAACCCGGGTCTTCGGCCTGACGAGCGAACGCTTTAACCATTAGGCTACCCGACCGCCCCATATATTTAAGAAATGTACCACACAAAAGAGACGTGTCTTACCCCAACATACTTTGTCGTCCATCAACTCTGGCGGCGCCCTTTGGCTCGCGTAGACATCGCTCAGGTACAGCTCTCCTCCATCCTGCACATGCGCATATGATACCGTTATAAGAGGCTGAACGACTGAGCGTAACACATAATGCCTCTCAGAGGAATTCTCTCCCCGCCAACGTCAGCAGAACAACCTCTTAGTTTATTCGAGTAAACTATAGAGTGATATCAGTCAAATTAGTCTAGGAAAGCTCACTATTACTAATAGGGGTTCGCACCCTCAGTGCAGTCGTCCCTTACGCCAATACATTACCTTCGCCCGTGAAGATCCGGGGTAGAATAGGTCTTCAGCAAACCATGCTTGCCGTAAAAGGCAACTATGTTTGTCGTAAGAGGCGACTAACGGGATCGGGCGGTCTGGCTCGCTGACTTGGTTGATGAATGTCATTGATCCCAACTGCGTGGATCGATGTTCATGTTGTCAATCACTGGAATGTCTGGTCCAGACTCGATTATTTACAGACCACCGTCATATAGCTCGATTATTGCTGAGTGCGGCGTTAAACAATATACAAACAAACAAACAAACAAAACATTACCTTCAGTAGTCTGAATGCCTCTGCAAAGACTTTGTTCTTGTCGGTTATCATACAGACGACACCATTCGAACTGAATCAAAAAGAAACGCAAGATCTGTTTTATAATACATAAAAACAAAATGAATTGAGCGTAAAAATGAAGTTCTGACACAAGTTTCAGTTTACGGAATCTTGATGGGCTAAATGGATAGGTTTGCTAATGATGGTTTCAGCTGAGTCAACATATTATTCCAATATTCATTGTATTCCACAGACTTGTACTGATACAAGTACAACAAATACTACATCAAGCTACTTCTATTACTTGTATCAAGTTTTCGATTTCCGAATTTTATTGTACTTCTCCTTTAGATTCTTCTACCCATTTAACCTCAACTGCATCATCTACGACTTCACTGATCATGATTTTACTGGAACACTCACACAATCACGTCGAATGTATTGTCTTCGAGAGTTGAGAGATTTTCCGCATTTCCAATGAAGAACTCCGTGTTGGCCTTCTCATATCCCCAAGCCTCGCGGTGGAAGTCCTCCCTCGCCTTGCTCTCCGCTATCTAGAAGACACCCGTGAAGATCTGGGGTAGAATAGGTCTTCAGACACCCATGCTTGCCGTTAAAGGCGACTATGCTTGTCGTAAGAGGCGACTAACGGGATCGGGTGGTCAGGCTCGCTGACTTAGTTGATGCATGTCATCGATCCTAATTGCGATTATTTACAGACCGCCGTCATATAGCTGGAATTTTGCTGAGTGCGGCGTTAAACAACAAACCAACCAACCAGCCAACTATCTAGAAGATGTGTAACAATTTAAACATTGAATTTAATGAAAGTATAAGTAGACACATGCTTGTTTGCATGTTCTTCGGCGCCGCACTCAGCAATATGTACATATTCGAGTCTTGACCAGACAATCCAGTTATTGACATTATGAGCTACGATGCACGCCCTCAGCATCCAATTCCACGCAAACAACAAGCCTGACCGCCTGATCCATTAAGTCGCTCCTTACGACCACCGTGTGTTGCTTGGGACATGTTTTAAATCAGAATCCCTACGGGGGCGGTGGGGTAGCCTAGTGGTTAAAGCGTTCGGTCGGCACGCCGAAGACCCGGGTTCGATTCCCAAATATGGGTCCAATGTGTGAAGCCCATTTCTGGTGTCCCTACCGACACATGTCACTCACAGAAACGACAGGATACTGTGATATGACATTTCTTTTTCATTTGTTCGTTTATCAAATATAGTTTACAGTTAAGTCCAACAATACGTAAGTTCATTTCCATATCGCATTTTTCATTTATATGTAACGGCATGCGATGTCTATGAAAAGGAGAGTGATGGAGTACCAACCAAATTCTCGGCGAAATCCACACCAACAACGCGCCCAGTTGGACCAACCAGTTTGCTGAGGATGAAAACGAGGCTACCGGATCCACAGCCTATGTCCAGGATTCTGAGACCTTCAAGCTGCCCGGGGACGATGAACCCTGACCCATAGTACCTGCATCATATCACACCACTTGTCCTACGATCGACTTCCGGTTACCTGGGCTCGATGCAGCAGTCACCCCGGATAACCGGAAGTCGACATGAGGAGTGACATCAGTTATATCACGGCGTGTCAGCTTAATGTGACAGAATTTATGAGAAATGAAAATAATCCAGATCAATATTTCATCTCGTATGTCATTTCGCTCTGATCTGATTGAGAGAATAATACTTGTCAAAATTGTCATTTGATGTCGAAGACATAAAAACGGATTGATAAAAAGTGTTGCTAAACGTTGTTTAGTTGAGTAAAGAGCAAAGAAAACGTAGGTAGGTTCTTTTCCTATTCTATTAATGAACAGATCTATTTAAATTTGATCTTTCTGACCATCTAGAAATGGATAGGTTGCATCAAAGCACATTCATCTTTAGTGAGTGTGCGAGTTTGGTTTAACGCCGCTTTGAACAGTGTTTCAGTAACATGACGGCGTGTCAGCTCGTTGGTGAGAGGGTAACCAGATAGGTTAAAGTCACTTGAATTATTTGTCTTTCGGATTCAACATACCACAGTCGCATAATTTTACCTTTTCATAGTCTCGGGATGTAGTTTGGCTACGATGTCTTTGATGGCGGGGGTGAAGTCCCAGTCGTTGACGCCACATACGAACGTCAGTTTAACAGAAGTCTCATTGTAGAAGTCTCTAGCCGCCTGGTCCGCCATTCTAAATTAGCTGTTCGAAATTGAAAACAAGAAAATTGGGCTATTGAAGACTTTTCACGCATTGTTGTCCTAAATAATCGTTTAAATGGACCATTTATGTCTTAAGTCTTGATCGCTATACTAAAATGAACTTTGTTTCTTCTTATAACGCCGCACTCAGCAATACTCCAGCAATATGAAGGCACCAGGGAAACCAGAGATTGATGTTACGAGGAACGATCCATGCCATTGGTGTAAGACCAGGCCCGTAGAAACAGAGGGGGCTGTTATAAGGTAAAAATGCATCCCCAAACCCTTAGAAAATTATAACAAAGTCAACCTTTAAATTGATGGTTATACCTTTAAAAACGATTGAGACAGAAAGCCACAGAAAGTGTCGGCGCAAACAAGTAGGAAATCAATAGGGCGATGACAGTGGCAGAATATTTCGGGATAGCTTCGTTGGTGTTGCCGCCAATTAATCAATAGACATCTTTTAATCGGTCAGCAGGTTCTGGTAATTTTCCAATCACGACACAAACACGAGCTCGTGGTCTGATATTGTTTTTAACCAATTAAAATGATTTATGAGGATATGTGACAAAGACAGACCAGGCCCGAACACTATAATATGATACCGTCAACATTAGGAGGGGCGAGTGCGGTTTGAAGTCGATCGAGTCGAATCCCGATCGTTTTAAGTTCTCCCCATTTAGAGACGAGCTTGGCCGGTCTGGTCCTGTCGTATATTGATATATGGACTGCGAGCAATTAAAACTAAAGTGAGTATAAAGCTAGTGTTGCGTTTCTTTATTATGCCAGTATAAATGCTGATGGAGACAATTCGGAGTAAGCGTCGTTAGACCAATCACTCCTTGACTGAGCTGAGCCGATGCTGACAAGGCGAGTGCAAAGTCATGGCTTAACTGACCGTGATGACAAGGAACGACAATACCTTTAGTAACTGGTGAGGGTCCCACTTGACACCCGAAAACAGTTACGACAGGGCTAACGTATTTGTTAGTATATCATACTGAATCTTGGAATGATTGTATATGACCTATTTGTAGGCAGTCAAAGCCCCAATACACAAAAACAAGCTAAGCTAATGTCAACCTTAACCACTAAAGTTAGAATTAAGGTTACCTTAGGCTGAAGTTATGCCCGTCTCCAGGGTATGAAACTCCCCCAAATTTCAGCCAGACCACAGGACTGGCTAGCTGAAATACTTGCCAGCCCTGACCAAAACCTGCCTGCCCACTATAATCTTATGTTTCTCAGGATAAGCTATCGGGGTTTCTTTTTGGTTACATTTTATCATTCATCTTTACATGTGAATTAATGCTTATCATTGGGAAATATTTAGAATATTTTCACATATGAAATATAACCTGACCGTCGGGCAGGGGGATTTGAAAATCTGGCAGCCCGAGTTGAAATCAACTCGTCTCGGACGGTCGGGCAGGCAGGTATTTCGAACACTGCCGACTCACAAAGCAACTGTACGTAACTTGATCTTAATTCGGTGTGTCAACCTCAGCGCTTAGGTTCAGCGTTAAGGCTGTATGACATCGCGTACTGAAACCATATTACTCGATATCCAGTTAAAAACACAACGGTTTGGAATTTCATTTCCTGTTTCTTTTCCTTTTATAACTGATACTGATACTGAACAGGTTTCGCTGCCTACCACTAAGTTCAATCTACGCCAGGGTCGTCTCGTGGGGCCCAGCCTGGGTTCACTGGGTACCCTAGTCTGTCTTACAGACCCTGATACAAATATATATCAAATCCAGCCCATGCAAGTCTATAATGTTTGGCATGTCTAGATCACTGCAATGAAGAGAGTCACTGGGCTCCTTTTTATTTTATTTTTATTAAGATAACTGAACAACTGTTTTTTTATGTAAGATGTGTTCATTTCAGAGACTAGATGTTAGTCTATGGGTACCCGGGCAACCCTAAATAGGTACACCAACTGCCAGATGTGCTATCCAAGATGAACATGGTTTTGGCGACGCCAAATAACATAGAATCAACAGTGAGTGACATTAACATTACATTAGTGAGTGAGTATGGTTTTACGCCGCTTTTAGCAATATTCCAGCAATATTACGGCGGGGGACACCAGAAATGGGCTTCACACATTGTACCCATGTCGGGAATCGAACCCGGGTCTTCGGCGTGACGAGCGAACGCTTTAACCACTAGGCTACCCGACCACCCCTAACATTACATTAACTGACCTCAGATTTATTTGCTCTCGGCAATATGAGACCTATTATACCGCTGACTTTCACGAGTCGCTAAGGAACGTAACGCCGATAGAAGAAGAAGAAGAAGAAGAAGAAGAAGAAGAAGAAGAAGAAGAATATTTATTGTACATAAACACCAACAGGGGGCAGGGTACAAAACATGAACATGTCTAATTAAACATTGACATACACAATAGAATACAAATATTGCTATGATTATATTGCTACAGAGGAGAAGCAGATTTTCTTTGCCTGAACATTTTGTGAATGAAATTGGGGATAATTTTTGCAAAAAGCTCTGATGGATTTATAAGTATTTTTAGAGATATTGTGTTCATAGACAAGGTGGATGATGAATATAGTTCCTGTCACAGGTCTCTGTACAGATATGCAGTGTGCGAGCTCAGGCTATGTTACCGCTTATAGATGAAAACCAAGCCTCGCTTTCACACAGGTTATAAATAGATTCAATGCTAAAGGCCCCATAGTGACGTCACAGCCCCTGTCACAGGAAGTGAAAAATCCTGGGCTCTACACCTACCTCATATAAACCTTTTATTACAAATCCTATATGTACATGTAATGTTTTCATATATTTCCCATTTCCACATGTGTCAATTTACCAAAATAATACCTAAATATAACCCATCCATGCACTGTAGAGGCTGTGAGAACATGTTTATTGAAGTCACGTGACCTCAAAATATTCTCTCACAGGGTAGAAGTCATTCACAAAAATATGGGTTCCATCTATCTTAAAGGGAGGAGGGGCCAATTCCTATGTTTCCTGCAATCACTGATCACTAAGCTTACTATATCCAACTTAAAACAGGAGGAGCTACAAATGTAAACATGTTTTTAATTGGATAAAAGACAGTCCCCAGTTTCCCCCTCGAAGTGACCAAGAAGTCCCACACAGAGCGGCCAGAAACATAAATAAATCTGGCATCTTACTGATAGCATCACATTCTAGTGACAGATATGTTACTTTAGGGCAGTTTAACACCGTTTGTTTAAATTTGAGTTGACTGATATGTCATTGAGGGACTAATTTGTGTGTCAGGGGTCTAAACTGATGGTTTACAGGTTGTGGTGTTTGACATTTGGTTCTTTCTGTCTTAAGCTGTCTGGACATAGTTTGTCAGTGTTATCACACTGAACAGACATTTGCACTTAAATAAATCAGAACTTAAATCTCAAATATGTATTGGTTTGTTAGTTTTAATTAGGGAAAGTAACCCTTCACACCACCGGAAGTTGTCAACATTTTAGTCACGTGACCTCTATCAGTAAAATGATTGGCTCAAACCTATCGTCTGCTGTAGCAGTATACTTCTTTTACAGTTGTGGTGGACGATTACTTTTGGATTATACCTTGGCTATTGCATTTTTATGCTCGGTCATGGCTAAATTGTGTGTTTCAACTGTTATTTTCTTGGAACTCACTTGGAATACCAGTCTCTCACTAACTATTTATCATGATGCGACTTCCAAGTGACACCACTGGAGATTTGTCAAGAAAGGTATGAACATATTGGAATTCTGGCACCTCTATAACTAATGAATTTTCAAGTGGAAAATATCAAGAGTACATTTATACCAATAAGGCTTGTGTATGCATTAATATTATATAGAAGTTTAAACGCTAGTAGAATTTTGCATCTTGTGAATATATGTGCATTTATGCTATCCAACAAGTCAGAAAAAATAGAAACAAAAGAAAAAATAATGGCATTCCTCCTGAGAAAAATGTAAGACATCGTAACATAATGGTAGCCAATGTCGTCCTTGTCAGGTATGCATACAGTTGGGACAATTTAAAAAAAGATGATCCTCATCATGAAATGAATAAACCTTATTATCCAGGTGAAAAGCATTAATATCCAGTGAATATATTTTGTAACATGGAAAGCTAATAAAAGTACAAAAAAGTTGTTTCAGTAGAAACATCTGTTTAAAAACTCCAGTTGACAGGGACTGTAGAGTGAATATGTCATCTGCTAGCAAATTGTATTTACTGTTTGTAGGTCGCACTTGAGAACGAGGCTTGGTTTTTACGGGAAAAGATATCAATTACAAAATTGAGGCTAAGCTCGCACACTGATGTATACAAATAATGAACCGCGCCAGACAAAAAGTGTGCATGGATCCTCTTACGTCGCGGATACAGACATCAAGGCGCAAGACACCAACCGACGCCACACTTCGGGCCATGTCTATAACGTGGCTATTGAGTGAGCAGGAACGTACTCGCCTAGCACATGATTTATTTGTTTGTTTGTTGTTTAACGCCGCACTCAGCAATATCCCAGCTATATGTCGGCGGTCTGTACTGAATAATCGAGTCTGGACCAGACAATCCAGTCATGAGCATTGATCTACACAATTTGGATACGATGACATGTATCAACCAAGTCAGCGAGCCTGACCACCCGATCCCGTTAGTCGTCTCTTACGATAAGCATAGTCGCCTGATGTGTGAAGGGGTTGTCAAGTGTTCTCCCATTACAGGGCTTGATCTCCAATCGCCAGCAGTGGTCTATTCGTAGTGGTTTATTTTTATTTACGCAATCTGATTGGCTGGCTGAGAGTGGAGAGCTGTGTCATCGCGTTTTGATTGGCTGTCTAAAAATAAATGACGGCACTTTTTTCGGAGCGGGGATACCCGATGTCGTCTCAGTACAGGAAATCCCCAGCTGTCAAAACATTACCGTAGTGACGATGTTTCCATCTCCGTAAGATGGTGACCAAGAGAAAATTTGTGGGGGAGGAAGGGATGTGATAGGTGGAGATGTATCAGAGAATTTCGGCTTCCAAGTGTACGAGATTCAGTTGCAGAATGAGAAGACGGTAACCGAAGCGAGATACCGCTTCGATATTTGGGGACCAGGGGAGCCACTCCGGTAGATTCTTTACTGGGCTTTTTCAAGACTAATAAAACAACTAATGATACAGTTAATTAATTCTTGTAAAAATACTGATAAAAAAAGCGAAACATACCATATTGTTTTTGGTATTTTTAACCACATAACCACATAAGAAATGTCAGCTTGTTTCGAAGTGTTGATCAAGAGCCGACCGATCGTTTGTGTAACCCACCACAAAAACATATTTTATAGTTATATTAAAATAATCGAGGCTTATATTTCATATTTTAAGAAAATAAACACCTTAAATAATTTGTATCAAAAGACATACTCAATTTTAATGCATTAAACGATCAACCTTTGCCGGACCGAAATCTCACGACCAAGATGTTTTGCAACCACCGCAGTTGTTTCCCCTTTCAAAAGTTGGAGTTTATCCAGATCAATATAATTCATTCATTTTGGCCTGTAATTATTTGTTTGTTTGTGTTTTTAACTTGAAGACTTCAATTATTTGAACATACTATTTCAGGCCAATTAAGAAACTCATTTATTTTTAAAAACAACAATATTACTAGATTTAAACTTGAATGTATTTAGTTTAAGTACCTAGATCAATGTATTTATATTTTTTCTTAGCTATTTTGATTTCTTATAGGGAGCAGACAAAATGATGAATATAAACATGGTGGGCACCATTCAACCTTATTAGGTATTTTTTTTCAAAAACAATATTATTTTTTAATAATTATTTACATTTATGCATCTTAAAATATATTTGGTATTTTGGATAGGATGAAATCATCTCAAAATTAATTTCATATTATCATTTTTAGTTATACTCACTATCACAGTTAATTATTTTCAGAATTAACAGACAATACAGAGTATAAAAGACATGTAGAATTATGTTTGTCTCATGTATATTCTTTAAACCAAAGTTGTTGTTTTCATTAACCATGTTTACTGAAAAAAAACATTTCTTTAATAATGAAACTGTTATATTATCATAGCAGTTAAAGAACCCCAATATGCATAGCTAGCTTAATTTTAAAGATAATTATTCAGCATTTCTTTGGATGATAAACTGGACATATGAAAAAATAAGAAATGTAATTTTTCTGTATTATTTTCCCATTAAAGGTTTACAGTGATTTATTTTTTCCACACAATCTTATTGGCTGCCTGAGAGTGGAAAGCTATGTTGCTATTTTAATCCTCTATGTAAACACTACTGAGGGATATGACAACAGCCATGGAGAAGAAACAGTAACATGAGTTGAACAATATCAAGAGTCAAATTAGAAGGACATAGAACGCATAGACTTCGACTAACTTTGACTAATCTAGTCTCTGAAATGATAAAACCAGTTGTTAAATTATAGTTATGAATTATAATTAAAAAAAGAGCCCATATATATATATATATATATATATATATATATATATATATATATATATATATATATATATATATATATACAAGTCTGTGGTTTAACTTGACATATGATTGACACTAGTGTGCCCTACAGTGTGTCTGATCACTTGCCTATAATAGTGTCGCCGGTTCCAGTAAGCAGTACTAAACACTATGGCGGTGACAAGATTGACTACAAAAGAGCAAGCGAAGTTGACTTGATGCTCTACCGGTATGAGACTGAGAACAATCTCCGAGAGACGTGCGTTGATGTGCCATGCTACTTAACTCCTGCATAATATATCAACTCCTACAACGACTTTGTCGTACAGGCACTCAACGATTCATCAAACAACAGTATACCATGCTCCAGGTATCGCTCGTACCTAAAACCATATTGGAAAAGAGATGGCTTGAAACCTCTCCATAATGAAATGAGACGATGTCGCGGACTTTGGCTATAGAAAGTACAAAGACGCTAAACGTGAATTACGAAAACACCATCGGAGATCAAAACAACGCAGTCTTGACGGTAAACTCTGTGAAATAACGAAAGTTGCTGAAGTGGACATTACCGAATATGTGAAAGTGACAAAACGCTTATCAAGACAGAATGGACAAATGTCAAAATTAACAATTAATGGGATTACATCGACGACGCCAGAGGATATATGCTCAGCGTTTGGCATGTATTTATCTATCAGGTATACTCATCCTAATTGTTTGCTCACCAAATATGTAGTTTCAACAAAAGCGTTCTGAAATATTTTGTTTCAGGAAGAACCAACATTGTGATAGAAAGTTGCTACTTTTATTAGTACTGTGTAGGCAGGTGGGTAGAATCCTAGTTCTGCTGAGTTTGCCTCGTTGTGTCTTCATTTCTCTATTTTACTTGATTTTCCAAACACTACAACATTTGTTTTGTCACTATTAATCTTTAGGTTATTTGTGTTCACAAAATACACTTAGACCATCAAGTAACACTTGTAGTTTGTTTTTCGGGGAATCGGAAAATAGTACAGCAAACAAACAAATGACAAATGTTAAAACCATTAAGTGTTATATTATTATAAAGATTTGATATAATGTGGAATGACATTGAAGAATATATTAAATAATGTGGTAGACAAACTGCAACCTTGTCTTACCCCGATGTTGGAGTTAAAGGATTGTGAACAGCCTCTGTCAGTTTTCACTTTATAAGACATTTTTTATACACTTCCTGAGATTTTATTTGATTAAAGCTTTTTGGGTGTAGCGATCTGTTAACTGAATAGCAAGTGAATAGTCTTTCTTTTTACTTTTTGTAGATTCTATTAATGTTTTAAGAACGAATACATTATCTGATGTTCGGTATCTCTTTCTCAATCCAGACAGTGGTCTTGTATTTGATTTGTTTCCATGTGTTCCATTATTCTTTCAGTAGTGAATAATAGTTTACTTTGGCAGCTGCTTAGTGCAATGACGCTGTAGATGTTAGGTCAGTCTTATCGCCCGTCTTATGTACTGCGGTAATAACCGAACCGAGGTGACCCAGCTCTGTGGGGAGGGACCACTATTTTATACATCATTTAACAGTTTAACCAACTGGTCTATCAATGGACAAGATATTGATTTTAAAAGTTCATTACTTATGCTATCTTCTCCTAGACTTTTGTTTGTTTTGAAATGTTTTATACAAGTGAGAATTTCCTTAGCTGTTATTGGTTTATTAATAGTGGCACATATATGCATATATGTCACCTGGGCTCCAATGTAATTTACACACCTTGTCTGGCCAGAGTGGCAGGCTCCAGTGAAGGAGCTGGAGGTCTTGGCTCAGTGTGGGGTGGTGGGGGAAGCTCACCATGTGCTTATACTATACACTTATGGCAGCTAGAGATTAACTGATAATTACAAGCTCTGTCCTCGCTTGTGGAGATGTGTACAGACCCTGAAACTGCAGTAATCTAGACTTGCCAAATATTATAGACTTGCATTGGCTGTGTTGGCTATATTTGTTTCAGGGTCTGTATGTGACAGGCTAGTATAGACTCAGTATCACAGGAACGGGAGGACACTTTAGAAGAGCTCGTTAAACCACTGATGAGGAACAATTTGATCTTCAGTGGTATCGCAGAAGAGAGGGACAAAGGCAAAGAAACTAAATTAAAGGAGTTCATCAAAGATATCCTAAATATTAGAAATGTAATTGTGTTCGATCAAGTACACCGTTGAGGGCCTCATCGCCTGGGCCACCCTCGTCACATTACAGCGCGCTTGCTTGAGAGAGTAAGTGTGATATGCAGTACCCAAGGAGTTGAAGGGGGCTAATGACAACGAACAACTCCCTAGAATGATGAACGAACGGAGGAAGCAGTTACTCCCCATCTTCAGACGTGCCAAGGACAACGGAGAAAAGGCTAAGCTGGTTAGAGGTCAACCGTTTATCAATGGTCGACTGGTTTATTCTGACTAGCATTGTCAACGATGTCACACTGACCTGCACCGCTATAACGCTATAAAGAAACAACGCTCAACAAAAAAAACTTACTGACTCTCTGTGAACTTACCTGTGTAGTTCCTCAGGTATGTGGCCTGAAACCGAAAATAGTATCGCCTGATTTTACAAACTACTTTACATTTTACTTTCTTTTGCTGTTAATGATTTTTTAAAATAAGAGTGAGTGAGTGAGTATGGTTTTACGCCGCTTTTAGCAATATTCCAGCAATATCACGGCGGGGGCCACCGGAAATGGGCTTCGCACATTGTACCCTTGTCGGAAATCGAACTAAAAAAATAAAATAAGAAAGCCAGTTGGTGGGACAATATAATTAATGAGTATATAAAAAGTACAACTGGTATTATGATAAGTATATGCACAGCTGTATGTAATAAAATCGTGTTGTCACCCAAAATCTTGGTTAAATGGTACTATATGACCCATTTATAAAAATAAATTAGATTTTAATTACCCAAAGAATTATGGACCCATTACACGTCTGAGCAATTATTATTTACATATGTCTTCAACAACAGACTTCGTTTCTCGATTACACCAAAACTCAGAATTTAAGTTGGATTCCGGAAGGGATTTTCTACGAGTGATCATATCTCCAATCTGTACAGTTTTATTCATATTTTGAAAACACAAAAGAAAACGTTATTCTGTACGTTTATTGATTTTGAAACAGTATTCGACAATGTCTGGAGACCGGGATTATGGCAAAAACCTTAAAAAATATGGGATTAAATGTCTTAAAATAAAATATGGGATTAAATGTCTTAAAATAATAACTCAATGTACAGCAATATACAATCTTGTAATTCAAGCAAAGGGATACCCACAGACTTTTTTCCATGTCGTAGAGGTGTGCGACAGGGTGAAAACTGTCGCTTTTGTTATTTTCTTTATTCCTCAGTGATCGTAAGGATTTTCTAACTAAAAGAATTGTGATGGAATTTTTTATTGATGATGCATCTTGGAGTGTGTATACTGAGTTATATGCATTTCCATAGCCTGATTATTCTGTTCTTTTAGCAACAAATAAGAATGACTTTCAAAGACGTCGGTGTACATTAGATGAGTTTTGTTATAAATTGAAGCTCAGAATAAATATTGACAAATGTAAAATTTTCATATTTGATGGAACAAAGGGGGATTATTTCACAATGTTTACTATAAATAACGTTGTTTTAGAAAATGTGAATGAATATATATACCTAGGAGAAACTTTTAAAAGGCATGTACATTCCACCAAGCAATTAATGTGTGAGAAAGCATAAAAGGCAATGCTTTTCATTTTGACCAAAGATAGATTACATAACCTTTCTATAAGCTGCCAGTAAAATGTATTTGACGGAATGATAATCCCATGATAAGTTATGGTTAATAAACCGAACATTTTGAAAACTGCACTATAATGGAACTTGATTTTGGGGGGAACCTTTTTACCTATCCAAAAGATTACTCCACATTATAATTATTATGTTGTTCTTGTATGCAGAAATGGGACGTACACTACTTTACAAAACTGTAATGAGTAAAATGATTGCTTTCTCGAAAAAACTAATCCCTCGAAAACCCTTCTATTATGTATGAATTATTACTTGATACGTGTAACTGATGCCATACCCTCTCCATTCATCTTATTTAGGAAGCCACGCCTGGCATTGTCTATCAAAATGAGTAAGAAATCGAGAGACGAAACGTGTTAACACGGACCATACCAAGATTATCCTCAGTGGATTATCGGAAACACTGTGAAAAGGTACGAATTTATTACTAACCCTAGCCCTATCCAGGCTAACCCTAAGAATCGGAAAGGGGTGTCAGCACTCGAAGATCGACAAGGATTGTTGGATCGCCAAGGCGTGTCAGTTCCCTGAGATCGAAAATGGGGGTTGGATCGCCAAGTCGGGTCAGTTCCCTGAGATCGTAAATGGGGGTTGGATCGCCAAGGCGTGTCAGTTCCCTGAGATCGAAAATGGGGGTTGGATCGCCAAGTCGGGTCAGTTCCCTGAGATCGTAAATGGGGGTTGGATCGCCAAGGCGTATCAGTTCCCTGAGATCGATATAGGGGTTGGATCGCCAAGGCGAGACAGCGGAAGCGCTATAGCGCGGTAATTGAGCGAAGCTGCGCCCGGTTGCAATTCTTTCAAAACAGGATACAATGTTTTTCTGAATAAATAAATATCCATGCATACCAACGTCTTTTAAATGTATGATGAAGACGCCCGTGGAGGATCAGTTCATCCAACAATGGCACGTTGATATGGAGGCATCCACAAAATCTAGATTCTCGAAGCTTATCAAATATGAAATTAAAACAGAATTTTACGCGGATAAGTTACCAGAAAGATACCACATGCCACTATTACAGTTTAGATTGACTTGTCACAGGCTACCAATTGAAAGAAAAAGGTCGCTGGTCAAAAATACAATTAGTTGAAAGGACATGTCCATTCTTCTGTACATATATGACCAGTGGTATACCCGAAATACCTGCCTGCCCGACCGTCCGAGACGGGTTGATTTCAACTCGGGCTGCCAGATTTTCAAATCCCCCTGCCCGACGGTCGGGTTATATTTCATATGTGAAAATATTCTAAATATTTACCGATGATAAGCATTAATTCACATGTAAAGATGAATGATAAAATGTAACCAAAAAGAAACCCCGTTAGCTTATCCTGAGAAACATATGATTATAGTGGGCAGGCAGGTTTTGGTCAGGGCTGGCAAGTATTTCAGCTAGCCAGTCCTGTGGTCTGGCTGAAATTTTGGGGAGTTTCATGCCCTGATATGACATTGCTGTCGAGTATCATTATATGTAAATCTGTGAACATCTCGACTGGTTATTCTCTTGCGCAGACAATTCATATTTACCTATCGCTCAAAATATATCCATTTTTCAAGAAATTCTTATGTTTAAACTGGTGAAAATATTTGGGTGCAAAGATAATCTTACGACGAAAGACATCATGCAGATGAAGTTCTATAATATTATATTTACTTTAACTAATATACCACACATATGTATGAGTAGAAATGGTATCTCGAAAGTCCTGGAAATATCAACACGATGAAATAAACAAATTATTGGTGGGGATAGACCCCCGCTCCCCCGCCACACACACACGCCATTAATAATATGGGATCAGGACCCTACATCACGCCAGTGTCTTGTCTGTAGGACCCCATCGCTGTTCTCGACTGCAGAAGTGCACCATGCACAGCTTAACGTACAGCATATGAATATCAATTCATAATGATATCCAGATATGAAACAAAAATCTGATACATAATTAAAATAGTACTCGAAAGGGCCTATCTTCGCTTTACGAAGTCTGACAAGAGTTCCCTCCCTTCCCATTCCGAGTGTACATTCAAGTTGAACTGGGGCCTCTTGTGAGTGATACAAGCGATCTGAAAAATATGCATAAACCTATTCAGCAATCATAGTACGACTAATTCAAAATATCGGTGTGCTGTCGCTGCTAAACGCAATGAACTGACAATCGGGGTGGAAAAGTATAAATCATGCTATCAATTTCATGTCTTGTTGTTCCTTGAAAACTACGCTCGTTTTCACCACATCACCCTAAAAGGAAACCTACATTTTTGCCTCGCTTCCCCTACTTCAAATACAGACCAATGTCGCTTTTCAAAACCGAACTCCTGTTTGTCATATTTGGCTCGTTTCCAAAGATCGAGAGCTTAATGTGAAAAATCTTACATACCTATCTGAAACCTGTATGGAGAATATATGAGAAGTGGGCACAGGAGCACTGTTTTCTCAACGATATCGTCAGACCGGAAGTAGCCTTTGTCGAAATGGATAGGGGCGCCAATGTGTGTGTTATCATGACGTCATATTGACCTGTAGGATCACTCGTATAAGCTCCGCCCACTCAGAGTGCGGTAAATGCCCCTTTAAGCAACGACACAAGGGCCTGTGGTGCAGAAATCCACAACCCCAAGTGTCCATGCTCATCGGTACGTTAACTTAATGGCACAACATCTGTGCCAAAAGCTACGACACTTGGGGTCAATTTTGGTGCAAACAAAACACGATAGAACCGTGCAAATGACACTTGAATTCTTGTTTGTTTGTTGTTTAACCCACACTCAGCAATGTTCCATATATGACGGCGGTCTGCAAAAACAAATCGAGTCTGGAACAGACAATCCAGTGATTAATATCATGAGCACTGATCCACGCAATTGGGATCGATGACACGCATCACCCGATCCCGTTAGTCGCCTCTTATGACAAGCATAGTCGCCTTTTACAGCAAGCATGGGTTGCTGAAGACCTATTCCAACCCGGATTTTCTCAGGTCGTCTTTCAAGTAATCACCCCTTTGAGCTGATGCTTGCTGTACAAGTGCCCTACTTTCATATGCCAAATGCTTCCTTCCTTCAGCTTTTTGTCTTTTGTAATATTGTGAAAGTTTAGATATTTGCTCCTCTCATGCCTCACTGCCATCTCTCATCCTTGTGTAGATGGCCCACATATATTCTGTCCAATTGTCATGGGTACGATGTACTTCTCTGAAAATTGTACTTATTTGAAAATTGATCCTGAGCACATATTAACTTTTAGTATCAGGCTTGTAACTACTGTTATTAATTAGTACAGCTAAATACCTTCATCCGAGGTGCGTCACCACAGTTTCTTAGATAATTCTATCATCTCCAGTCTAAATCTGCTTTCTTCGGGCATGGTCAGGGTGTTGCTATGTCATCTTGTGATGTAACATGTGCCAGCGGCTACACTTGCTTTCCTGCATGCACTGCTACAACACTCATTTCACGATCTTTTACGTCCCTCTGTCGTTTCGTTACAAGTATGGCTTTCGATTTAACCATCCCACCCAAAGGACGTGCTGTCAGAAACCACCGCCTCATCAAGACTCCCAGGACGGAGCCAGCAGTCCAGCCAGGGAGATCAGCGACTGATAGGTCAGTTGGATCAGCAGACTTTCTTTAAACGTAACTGGTCTGAGGACATTTAATCAAGGGAGAATGCCGTCGGTGGTGGAAAAGGAAATCCTGGGTGTTGTTTTCACGTCCGGCAAGTGTTATGCGAGAAAGTATGGAGAGGTGAGTGTGTATTTGACTTCATTGTTGCCAAGAAACAGTCGCATGACAATAACGATTCGTTTAAGGTGGAAATGGATTTGTCAGGTAATCTGCGTTTTTGCCGGCCAAGCAGACAAATGCTAAGATATTTAGCATAGATCTATGCTTCTCACATTAACATGAGTATTTACATGAGTATTAATGTGGTAAAATATACTTTTCAGCCGACCATATAAGGCATGTTGGCATACATGGGAACACAACAATGCTGCAGTCTGCTGCAGGGGCTATGGCTGGTCAAACCACCACTAGCAGTTTGGGTAACGGATGACACGAGACCTGATTCAGGATTAAGAGAGGATCAACGAGGAACTGTAGTTGAAGCACAAGACACCGGCTCTACCCCATGTCCAAGAGGACATTTCAGCAGGAGGCATGACTTTACAGTCAACGCACGTCGTTTCTACAACAGGTCAAGGTGCTCCAGATCAGGTCAAGTTTACTCATAAATGCTCCAAATGCAGGTAACCACATCCAGCCCGTTCTTGCTTTTCCGTAAAGTGGTGTCGTAGGCCAAACAATTTAACTCTTCACAGCCAACTCATGCTAAAAGCACTGGCCCAACTCCGCTCATGTCTGCTAGATCTAATTCGCACTGGCAACTGTACAAGCAGTCTTACCATGTTCGTGCCATTTATTACAATGTTTGGATCAGGTTTTCGACTAGAATATAGTGGCCCCCACTAGTAGCTGCCAAGTTGAAGAAGTGAGTGAGTTAATATTTAACGTAACATCGGTAGTATCTCAGCCATATCGTGACGAGCCAAAATGAAGAAGGAAGTAGACTTGAAGAGATTGAGTCGCAAGTCCTTTTGATGTGCAGCCTCTGCCGAACATACAAGTTTCACCTATCATTCTCGTCCCAAAAATACAACGGGTAACTATCAGTCCTGGATGTGACTGATGATTTTCATATACATCACATTTCGTATCAACATGGCAGAACAATCAACGACCACATTGACAGTGAAGCATTACATGTTCTGTGTGGTGCACCAACTAGGTCCAAATGCACTGTTTGCAAAATTGGATGTGCAAATCAAGTTTCAGGATAATGCCTGTTCACTCTCAGAATTTTGAGTTGCTAGGTTTGTCTGACTGACTGACTGTAGGTATGGGGTTTTTAGGCTCATTTATACTGTGCCTATGATAAAGGTTTGCTAAATTCCTAGAAATGTTATAAAGAAGAAAAAGCTTCCACACGCTTTGATATAACATTATAAGAATGACATTCTGCATGCCATGGCGAATGATATTCCTGAAACATAATAGGCTAGCCAATAAGAGGTCAACTGTAATAGTCGCTACATGGCTGAAATAATACCGATGCGACGTTAAATTTTAACTCACTCACTCAACTGTAATAGACTCCACCATTACTTTATGTTGATTTACATTTTTTTAATTTTTTTTTTTTTGGGGGGGGGGGGGGGGGGGGGTCGGGGGGGGGGGGGGGGGGGGGTGTGTGTGTGTGTGTGTAATTCTGTTAATATTATAAATGAGCCACATTTTCAAGGTGATTACAAACAGTACACTTTGCAAAAATGTCATTTACAAAAATGTGGAGACAATTAGATATACTTGTAATAGAAGGCGTCCTTTTAAGGATGATGTCCATGGCTGTTGTCATTTTGTTTTAGAATGATTATAATTTATGGTGCCTAATTCTGCAGGAGAAGGTGATATTGTGTCATCCTTTTCAGAGTCATCAAAGTCTACTGCAGCGATAGCCCATTTATCTGTTTTCTTATTTCAATAAAGTCAGGTACTTATGAAAATCAAAAGAATCTTTACTTGATTTGTCATTTAGAGATAAATATTACTTTGATAAATACTTGCCATTTGGCTGCTCGTCATCATGCTCAGTGTTTGAAACATTCAGTACCTTTTTGCAATTGTGTGTTCAGCAAAAGTGGCAAAAAAAGCAGCTTATGTGTAACCTTGATGATTTTCTTACAGGCGGCACTGCAGGGATTAAAGATTTCGGTGGTAACCTGGATAAAGGCCTCAGTTCCCGGACTTTGGTGTACCCATTGGGAATGAAACTCTTGTTTAACTTTCCTAGGGCTTGAAATCTATACAAACAGAATGCAGGTCAGAATACCACGAGAAAAGAATCACCACGATCATACATGCTTTGCTATTAAGCACAAAGTCGCTCGAAAAGCTTTGCAGTCAATGGTGGGTAAGCTAAACTTAATGCTGAGCGCCAGTCAGTGTAACAACAATTACCATCTTTTAACATCTTTTGGAATGACGGGGCCGGGGATCAAACCCAAGACCTTCCCCTATCTGAGCAGACACTCTGGTTGCAGAGTCTACATGTGGAGAAAGGCAAATGACATAGTTATGTTAAACATGGTACCGAGTTTCCTCAAATTACATTGGATGAATTCGTTAAAAGATATAGCTAATCCACACCATACCTCAAAATTAACCCTTATAATCGCAAAGGGGTGCCTGATCGGAGGTGGATCCAAGGGTTAAGAATAGTATTGGGGGTAAGCTACCCTGCCCAAACACAACTAACCCTAATAATCCAAGAGGCAAGCGAGATCTGCGAATTGAGGATTTGCCACAGGCAATCCGGGGCGATAGACGTGCATTATCGGCCTACTTTCAAGAAGGGTGAGTGAGTGAGTATGGTTTTACGCCGCTTTTAGCAATATTCCAGCAATATCACGGCGGGGGACACCAGAAATGGGCTTCACACATTGTACCCATGTCGGGAATCGAACCCGGGTCTTCGGCGTGACGAGCGAACGCTTTAACCATTAGGCTACCCGACCGCCCCTACTTTCAAGAAGCCAGAGATAGCGGGAAACCACAGAAAATGCGTGTTAACAATATTATTGTTGAAGAACAGGTATATATTTGTACGACCGACCGACAAGACAACTGTGTGAGAAAGGCATCTATGGGAGGCGGTGCTCATCGTGATGCATGCAAGGCCCTCTTTTTGCGATCATTCATTGAGTGATTTGTTTGTACCCGGAAGCAACACGGAACAGGGGAGGCAACTCAATGTGGACAATTCTGGTAAGTGATGTGACGGCCACGGCCCAGCGTTTGATATTCTCTCGTGGAATATGGATGGACTTCGAAAATATGATTCCAGGCTTTTGTGAACAATTAAACTTGATCTCGTTCTGTGGGACGTTCCAATGAATTCTCGGACTTCCGGTTTTCTTAAGCTGTTTCCTCCCCAAGACTTATAAGTGCGGGCAATATAGTGGTGGTATTGCTGTTTTGATACGCTTTCATTGGTAAGAGAGTGGACTGTTGTGTTGGTTTTATGATAATTTTGAAAATACTGTTGTACTTTTTTCAAATCATCATGTTTATCATGGGACCGTATTTTGATATGTACCTATATTTACCAATTAATGTTAATAGACAATGGTGGATACCCAGTATCAACTGAAATTACAAGTTTGAGTTCGAAATTATATTTTTTATAGAGTTATTGCCCTTGCGCCGTGATTGTCATCTATACAAACAGAATGCAGGTCAGAATAGTTTTCTCAGAAACTGCGGAAATTACAAACGTATCTATGAGACTGATTTGGAAAATTGGTCCCGTCAATTATTTGTTTTACAGAGTTACGGTCCTTGATCCATGTTATTTAACATGGTGCATAGGGTCTGCAATGGGGACACATTTTTTTCAGAAACTACTTAAGTTAGCTTTTCTGATAGATACTTA